TGGCTGAAAGTGAAGAGGACTTAAATATTTACTGATGAAGATCAAAGATCACAACCTTCTGTGTGGGTTTCACTTAAATGTAAATAAAATAAAAATCCTCACCCCTGGACCAATAAACAACATAATGATAAATAGATAAGGATTGAAATTGTCAAAACTTAATTTTTCTTTGATCCACTATCAACACTCATGGAATAGCAGTGAAGAAATCAAATGATATATTGCCTTAGGCAGATCTGTTGCAAAAGACCTCTTTAAAGTGCTCAAGAACAAACAAGTCAGTTTGAGTCAAGATGAACAGACTTTGTCTTTAATTACTCAGGCATATTATCAGGAGGGACCAGTCCCTGGAGGAGGACATCATGCTTGGAAAAGTGAAGGATCAGCAAAAAAGAAGACCCCCAAAGAGATGAATTGACACATTTGCAGTCACAATGGGCTCAAGTGCAATAATAATTGTGAATATGATGCAGGATGGGACAGTGTTTCATTCTATTGTACATAAGTTTGCTAAGAGTAGGAACTGACTCAATGGCATCTAACAGCAACAAGCTTCCTGTGTCACAGCAACATGTATGCTGTTACAGTATGACAAACTGATAGATGAGTGGTCAACCTCCTCAAATTACATTCAACATAACGATGTTGATTGTGTAAAGTTTATTTACATATATATTGTTGTTGTCAAGTGCCATAGAGTCAGTTCCGACCCATAGTGACACTGCATAGGGTTTCCAAAGAGCATTGAGTGAGATTGAACTGCTAACCTTGCAGGTCAAATGACTTTGCAGTCTGGCATGTTAACCCACAGTGCCACACCAGGACTCCATATCAGAGTGCCCATATAGGACAAAGTAGAACTGTTCTATAGGGTTGCTGAGAGTACAATCCTTATATATGCTGATTGCTTCATCGTTCTCCTGTGGAGCAGCTGGTGGTTTTGAACCACTGACTTTTCAGTTAGGAGTCCAACACTTAGCCCACTGCACTACCAAGTTTCCTTTGCAAGTTGTCATTTTCAAGAAATTTTAGACTTGAAAATACTATCATTGAAATTTTTATCATGTTTAAATTATTAATTTGTTAATAATCTAAAAGAAGTGGATTACAATAATGCAAATAGCTTGCATGTACTACACTGAAAATATACTCATTGACTGATTTTTATAAAATTTTAGTGAACTTTCTTAAGGTAGATATTTCTAGCTTACTGCTTTTTGCCAGAGAGATACTTCAGAAGAATATTGATCTAATTAACAATGTGTTGGAGCAAACTCATTGCACAATTGTGAAGTATACAATCCCCTATTCCACATTTAAAAAAATAATTTTCTCCGTATTATGTTGATGAAATACTTGTAATAAGGAAGAATGATTACACACACACACACACACACACACACACACACACGAAGAGCAGTAGAAACAGAATCCTTTTCAAAGAGCACTTTTAGGAATTCATGGTCCCATTTGTACCAAGAGACACAGTGGGCAGTAATGTCTTCATTCCTCTCCCCTCAATCTCCTCCTTGGCCCCAGAGGTAGCATACATATTTAGAGTTCTGTGGAAAATATCTCTTCACCTGACTTGATTCTGTTTGCTTTATTCTAGGACGCTAGCTACCTTGGATCAAAAATATTCCATACAGGTGTCTTATGAACAAATATTAGTTTTGAGAGTAGGATTAGACTATACATCAAAATGACAGAAAAGGGATGGATTGCAAATGGAAATATTTAGTTTTCTCAGGTTCGTTTTCAGATGTTGTGTAGCAGTAGTGGAAATTGGAATTGCATTCAACATTGTCAGAATGTAGGGGAACAAGATCTTTCTCTTATCCTTGAATATGAGATGTCATTCCTTTATACATTCATTTATTGAGTAGATCCCAGACAAATTTCAAGGGCCAGGTGATACAATTGTAAAATTATTTTAGTAAAGATCCAATCTCTATCTTCATGATTTATGGAGGAGGAGACATAATTCAATCTAGTGGAGAAGACTAATGTTATTCAAAAAATCATATTAGTGGTGTATAATTACAAGCAGGTGCTTTGAAATAAATTAAGGAAAACATGTATGAGAGTAAATGATTAGGGAAACTGTAATTTGGGCTTACTGCTGTTGTTGTTAGGTGCCATTGAGTTGCTTCCAACTCATAGTGACCTTGTTGTGCACAACACAACAAAACACTGCCTAGTCTTGCACCAACTTCACAATCGTTGTTATGCTGGATTCCTTTGCTGCTACCATTATGGTAATCCACTGTACTTAGTGTTAGTGGAAAGGATTTTCAGCACAAAGTTTTGATAAATAAAAGTGTTTGGTTCTTAAAAAAATAAGTAAATAAAATGTTTTATTTGTAAGAAAACTTACAAAGACCCTACAGCAAATGAGCAAAACAACTTTAAAGAACTGAGCAAAGGCTAGTGAATCTAGGAAGAATACTGCATGATGAAAGACAGTGAAAAAGATACACAAAACCTTGACTTTGTGGGAACTTATAGGCCATATCAAGTCTTTTCCATTTTTGCTGAATAATAATAGCGAAGATGCCAAGATTATTAAGAGAGGCTATGGCATCATTATGTTTGGGTTTGAAATGCTCAATCAAGCTGTTTTGAGGAGAATGTATTGAAGACACATGTGCTTAGTAAATTCTAAGACCCGTATGGAGCCGGTTGGTATTCTTCAGGTGAGAAATGGCGCTCATATCTCAATGGTAGATTCAGTAGATGTGGGGACAAATTGCTGAGATATTTAGAGGGTAGAATTAAAAGAACTTAATGATTTATTTAATATGAAGATGTATTTAATGTGAAAGATGTCAAGGATAGCCCCATTGTTTTTGGCTTAGGTAAATGGATGAAAATTTGGGAGCATATAAATTCACTTGGGAATATGCATACTGTGAAGGGTTGCTTTTGACTCTGTAAGGTGCAATTATTGAGTAGGCTAGTTATACTAATGTGGAGATTGAAAGAAAATTAATTTTCACAATTAAAGCCATAAATTATGCTGAAATAATCCAGGATCCACTGGTTTCTATAAAGGTGTTGAGAGTTACTTTTATGTAGTATTGAGAACAGAAGCATGGATAAAGTTGTCAGGTACAATTGATACAATGAGATAATACAACTCTTGCAGAAATATGTGTAACTAGAACATTTTTACATATGAAAGAAAACGACTGAGGGAAGGACTTTCTATTCGTGTTATTCATCATGTTTCAATATTCAGTATCTGGTCCTATCAGACATTGTTTCATTGCTATTCATTAGGTTTTCAGTGGCTAAACTTTCAGATGTAGTCCACCTCTCCTTCTTGGTAGTATGTCTTAGTTCGGAAGCTCATATGAAACCTGTCCATCACAGGTGACCCTGCTGGCATTCAAAATACCGGTATCATTGCTTCCATGCATACCACCACAGTGTGACAGACTGACACATGGTGGCATGCATGTTGCTGTGTGACAAACTAACACTAAAGAGAAGTGTTAATCAGTTGATTAACATTCTCAAGAAGTCAAGATGTAGAGAGATTGGTTTACACCGAATAGAAAAGCAAAAACAACAGAAATAAAACCCTCTATTTTCACAGTTTGTGGTTGAAGCTCACCAGCTTCTCTTCGGGAATGCTATACAGGGTCACTATGAGTCAGAAAACCAAATTGACAGCACTTAACAATAACAATTTTCACAATGGAGTCCTGGTGTGGTGCTGTAGGATCAGCATTAGACTGCGAATCACAAGGTTGGCAGCTCAAACCCACCAGCTGCTGCTTGGAAACCCTATATAGGGTCACTATGAGTCAACAGAACTTAACAATAACAGCATTTTCACAGTAGGAGTGTAGTGGCTCCATATGATAAGCTATGAACTGCGAACCACAAGGTCTGCAGTTCAAGCCCACCAACCACTCCATGGGAGAAAGAGGCTTTCTGCTTTTGAAAAGGTTTAAAAGCCTTGGAAAACTCTATACATGATTGCTATGAGTCAGAATCAACTCCACAACACTTAACAACAGCAAACTTTTATAGTAGGGAATTTGGTGATAAAACTGCTATTGTAGAATATAACTGAAATTAAAGCATATATGTATTTACTTTAAGGAGCTCTGGTGGCATAGTGGTTACAAGTTGGGCTGATAACCTCAAGGTCAACATTTTAAAACTACCAGCCATTGTGAGGGAGAAAGATGGGACTTGCTGCTCCCGTAAAGATTTATAGCCTCAGAAATCCTATGCAGTGTCACTGTGAATTGGAATCAACTCCATGCCACACACCGCCACCACCATGTGTTTGCTTTGCAGAAGGCAGTGCTTATATGAAAATAAGTTTATGCTATTTTACAACTTCTCTAGTATCCCAAAACATGTAGCAACAAAAAAACAAACAAAAAACCCCAGACATTTCACTGCAATCATCTTGTAAAACAATATTCTTGAAAAGGTCATTTTAAATACTACTGGAAAAATGCTTTAAAGACATACACAGCATCATCTAGTTAACTTCTGTTGTATTTCAATTTGTTTAAGTACCTCCCTGGAAGACACTTTATTAATCTCTTATCAGTCTTTACCAGATAATTATAATAGCTATCATTTTACTAAATATAACTTATCAACTGTATTGTAAGAGGATTTCAAGGCATGCAAATATGCTGATGGTTGCATTAACTATACTTAGAGAATGACTAGTGTTTTAATTATATCTTTTTAAAATTTCAACCTGTGTTAATAAATTTCTCTTCAATTCATTTTTTGTCCATGCTTATATTTCTTTGTCTGAATGCAACTAGAAATACTTTATATTTTCAAATATTCAGTATTTGGGGATGCCTAAATATTATAGATTCAGTTGACAGTTGGCAGCAAGTTTTGTTTAGATCAGTGGAGATTTTGACATATTGTTGAATATAGCTTGATCATTGTTTTAACATATAGTATATTTTTCTGATCATTTACAATTTTTATTTTTGCAGGTTAAAACAGCAAGGATGTTTAAATGCTGGTCAGCTCTGTTAGTTCTTGGATTCATTTTTGTGGAATCAGAAGGAAGGCCATCCAAAGAAGTAGGATATGCCCTTAAGTCCTATCAGCCTCTAATAAGATTGCGGCACAAGGTACAGTCAACATTCTGAATCTGCTCAAAGTGTGAAATATGAATGAACTATACTTTAAATTGCCTGGTTTATTATTTACTTAAGAGCACTTCCATTAGAATATGTTTTCAGTATTTCAAAATAAATGCACATTTTCAAGCACAAAGTAGTTGTGATTTTGGAAATTTCTTGACAAAGAATAGATATGGATGTTCTCCTAAGAAATCTTTATTATAATATTTCAGCCTATAATGTTGCATATGCAAAGAATTTGATTTTGTGGTTTCTTTCCCCTAAGTTTTAAGTATTGTGATGTCAGGAACTGTCTTATTGTCTCATTCCCATAACTGTGAATATAGTACACATTGTTTAATTGAATTGACCACAGAAAAATGATGATAGAATGAACAACTAAGCTTTTCTGATTGTTCTCCTGCTAGATAAATATAAATTTATGTGTTTGTGTAAATTTATAAACAACCTATTTGAATTAAATATGAATGATAAGGATAAGGTACTTATACATCACCGTGAGATTAAATAAACTTTTACAGGAAAAAAATTAATAAGTTAAGCTGGTGATAGAAGCAGTATCACCGTGAAATGAATCTTAAGTCACCTCTTACTTTTTATATCTGAAAGTCTTTGCCTTTAAATAGTTAGAAATAATATCTAATTGTTGGTATTTAAAACCATAGAAGACAAAGCTTGTCATGGTACTAATGAAGTTTTAAACTGCTTGGTACAGAAATAAGGTGAAGCTATAAACCACATTTGGTGAGTCTTTGGGGTTGTGTGTGTATGTGTGTCAATGGACAGGTTCCTTAAAGAATGCCACCAGATAGTTCATATTCACTGTCAACCCCAAGCCTCCAAGTGCCAGCCCTGAGACCTTGAAGACTAATCTGACATAGCCTTTACTTTTGCTTTTGTCACTATCACAGGAATCCTTCATTATCCTTTTCCTGCTGCCTTCTATTCCTACTAGGATCATATTCCACTTTACTGGTGAGAGTTTCCAAACAATGAGTGAAAATAGAATACTCACAAACATTCCCTAGCTTACCTTTCTCCCTTGCTTTATTTTCATTGACATAACTCAGAACAATCCAACAAGAATTATAATTCCATATTTATTGCATCATTGACTGTTTCCTTTTATCAGGATGTGAGCTACTATAGTCATTTGCCTCAGATATGACTATAAATGAGATGTTGATAGATCGTTAAGTGTTGTAGAGTAAGCTCTGACTCACAGCCACTCAAACTCTGACTCACATAGGTGAGTTTGAACCATGAACAGCTGGTGGGTTTGAACCATGAAACTTATGGTTAAGTGTCTAGTGCTTATCCTCCAGTGCCACCCAGTACTCCAAAAATGAGATGTGGCATGTATAATTATCTGAATTTCTATGACAATTGGAATATTTAAATTTGATACTTTCCTATCATGTGTAAGTCCTGATATTTTGCTGTAGGGTAAGCACTGGACTAAAAGATTGGTTTGAACAACTAGGCTGATGGTTCAAACTTACGAGTCACTCCTCTCCTCAGAAACATTATACAACCACTGGACTGCAAATCACAAGCTCAACAGTCTGAGCTCACCAGCTACTCCTTGGGAGAAAGAAGAGGTATTCTGTTCCTTCAAAAGATTACAGACTCAGAAACCCTATACAGGATTATTATGAGTCACTTAACAACATATAATCTTATTAACATTCCATAAGTTAATTTCCTTTCATTTGTTAATTTTTAATTTATATAGTTTTACTTAGATTTCACAACATAGTGGTTATGAGTTGGGATGCTAACCTCAAGGTCAGCAGTTGGAAACTACCAGCTGTTCCGCTGGAGAAAGATGAGGCTTTCTGATCCTGTAAGGATTTACAGCCTCAGAAACCCTGTACGGGGTCACTATGAGTCAGAACTGACTCCGCAGCACATAACCACCACCACCACTTAGATTTCATAGAGTAAAAATATGTATATTTTTATAAGACTGAGATAATATATAATGATGGGAACTTCTAGTAGGATAGTATTTCAATATATTCATATTAGATAATGACTATTACTGTTGTTGCTGGTAAATGTCTTCCAGTTGGCACTTGGGACTCAAAGGGACTTCATGTAAAACAGAACTAAACTATGCCAGATCCTGTGCCTTCCTCACAATTGCTGTTATGCTTGAGCCCATTGTTATAGACTTTGTGCCAATCCATCTTTTTGAGGATCTCCCTCTTTTTCACTGTCCCTCCATGTTACCAAACAGGATATCCTCCAAGGACTGATCCCTTCTCTTAATATGTGTGAAGTCTGAGAGACAAAGTATGGCCATCTTGGCTTTTAAGGATCTACTGTTTGTACTTCTTCCAACACAGATCAATTTGTTTTTCTGGTAGTCCATGTTGCCTTTAATAGTCTTCTCCAACACCATAACTCATATCCATCAATTCCCCTCCAGTCTTCCTTATTCATTGTCCAACTTTCATATATATATTGGAAATATTATCGTTTTGGTAAGGCACACTTTAGTCCTCAAACTGACATCTTTGTTCTTGAACATTTTAAAAAGGCCATGTGCAACACATTTGCCTGATGCAATACGGTGCTTAATTTCTTGACAGCTGCTTTAATGAGTGATGATAATGGATCAAAGAAAAATGAAGTCTTTCATAACATCAATCGATTTTTTTTTCCATTTATCATGATGTTATTTATTGGTTTACTTGTAAAGATTTTTGTTTTGTTTACACTGAGGTGCAACCCATACTGAAAGTGTGGTCTTTGATCTTCATCAGTAAGTATTTTAAGTCCTCTTCACTCTCTGCAAGCAAGGTTATATCATCTGCATATTAAAGGTTGTTAATGAGCCTTCCTCCAATTCTGATGCCTCATTGTTCTTCATATAATCCATTTTCTCAGATTATTTGTTCTGCACAGAGACTGATTGAGTATATTGAAATAATACAACTCTAGAGCACACCTTTCCTGATTTTAAAACAATCAATATCTCCTAGTTTTGTTTGAATGACTGCCTCTTGGCCTAGAGATACCTCATGAATACATTTAAGTATTCTGGAATACTCATTCTCCACAAAGTTTTGCATCTATTTTCTTCAGTGATATTGTTCTATAATTTTCTTTCTTAGTGATGTGT